CTAGTCATAATATAATTCCTTCATAGCAGTCAAGTTTTCGGTTTTCATACCTGCATATTAATGATCTAATAATAAAAAGTTTGGATAAAAATGTTTCAACATTACTGGTCTTACTTGACTTTTCCAAGCATAAACTAGTGTTAAACTAAAGCACTTTGGATTCAACGATCGGTCTCTATTTTTTTCCAGCCGTATTTACATTATAGGCAACAGTGTGTTAGAACTGATAGCACTATATCAGATTCGGGTAAAGTTATTTCAGGAGTACCACAAGGGGAAATTCTTGAACCTCTGTTGTATCTCTTGTATACCTTTACCATGTCTGAGAAAGTCGATTTTTTCATAAATCCACTGATATACTGACACCTAGCTGTTGCACACATTTATCTCAATTTGGCTCTCAAAACCCTTTCTGAATATAGTAAAAGATATTATCTTAAACTAAGAATACAAAAGCCTATGGTTCAGAGCCTATGGTGGAGACCATTAAGTAACCAATGTCAATCACCTTGGTGTCGCTACTCTTCATACTAAAATAAACCCAGTGTTATAGTATTGTCCGGACAATCCCATATGTGGTGTTTCTTAGTTCATCGGATACTCTGTCGAAGAGCCTCTTGATAAAGGTTATCGGGTTTGGCCAGTGGATAATTATTTTTCCGTTACAAAACGTTTAAATCAGCCCAGCGATACCCCGTGAAATATATGATCGTTATGCGCTACTTGAGCAGCGTCTCGTTATTTTATTTCATTCTTTTACGGTCGGGTTCATTCGTTTCCATCGGATCCCCGCAGAGTTGATACGTCCCGCGTTCGACGTTAAAATATTTCCGAAAATTATCCCACATTTCCTGAATAAACAACGCGTTTCCCACAACCTACGTCACGTGATTAGTATTCGTTCGCCTATAAATTTCAGGTAACGCGGAGCGTCGTTACAGTTACAAATAATGTAATTTCCTTGGGCATAACGTGCACTACATGTTTGCGAAGTTCCGGATAATGTTTCATATATATCTCCAGGGCTGTAGCAGTATAAGCAAACTACACGCTATTAAGGAAGTACTGTCCAATTTACGATATCTTTATCTGGCCTAACTGAAAATTTGCGATTTTTTTTTGCGGGAGAAATAACGTAAAATGAGCGTCGTTCATGCAAATAGTATCGCGAACGAAATAGACCCTGTTTAGCGGTAGACGTTTAGTTTTATTGCGGCAGCGGCGTGCCTACAACTATTTCACCCAATCCAAATTCAATGATTTATTTACTTTTTTATTTTAAGTACTTCATAAAGTGTGCTTAAGATGTAATGGATATACCCCAAACTCGTTATTGCACTTACCCAACTGACGCTACTGGGATATTAATAAAAATATGATAAAAATTAAATAAAAATTAAATAGTAAAAAGAGGGCATTAGAAGCAATAATTAACGTATTCTTCGAAAGAGTAATAACATTAGAAGAAAAATGAAAGACTGTAGGTGAGCCTTCAAGATTTAAATATTCCTCTAAAAGATTGTAGGCCACTATTACAAACTTATAGACTTGGACATTATTGGAATATTTGTCGATCTGTGATTTAATGTATATGGGATATTTATATTAAAAACTAAACTAACCAAAACCAACCTAAACTTGATCTAACATGATCTATTTAGTCAAACCAGCATTTACTGTGGCGGCTCCTATTACGTAGCACATACGTCACAATTAAATTATTCTTTGCCATTAACGTTGCTACTTGTTTTTCAACACTGCAAAATTTGGAGGACCAGTATATTTGCTGAAAAGAACACTGGGTAAAGAAGAGTGAAAGAACAAAATGGACAAATGAAATTAATAAAATCATCAAAGGGAAGAACAAATATGACACATTTTTCATTAACTGTGTTTGTGGATTTTTGGTTACTAGGGGAAATTTGGTTGTCGAATTGTAAAATAAATGACATTAAGGACAAATAGGTTAGAATAAGTAGGCTGCATTAGGAGGATTGTTTATTAGCCCGAATTATATTGCTAAAACCATCCGAAAAAAGTTTGAAATCCATAACGTAGAGGTAAGTATGGTATGCAATGGGTGTCGAAGTCTTAATAATTCTAAAAGAATCTTTCAAACATCTTATAAAATATAAAGAAAGGTATTATTCCGATGTGAAATAATAATTAAGCATATAGCTATACAATAGTGTGCTGCTAAAATCTAATTTTCAAATTCCCAAATTGCCATCCATAATCATTATTTTTAATTGGAAAGCCTACGTCAGTCAAAATACTCATAGTTTATTTACAGATTCTGTAAAATGGTTCATTGTTACTACACTCATGCTCAGCAATATTGGTGAAACACTGGCTACCGATTAATATAAGTAAACAAACATAATTTTAAAACAATAATAAAATCAGCCTTTTTCGGTAATTGTCGAAGTTTTAAGAGAAAAGGGGAGTTAGCTGGTCGGGTTTATTGCAGTATTTATAATTTAATTGCGGAACCGACCTGATGATAATAATAATCATATAACCTAACGAAAAGCACGCAAATTTAATTAATAGTACTTTGAATGGCACTCTATCCAACCCTGTGTAGAGCTTCGTTTGCGTGGGAGTGAGAACTGTGTTGCTGCGATTAATTGGGAGAAGGAGTCCCGATACAGGCAGGTTTGCACTGGCCCCATAAAAAATAATGATGCATCCATTTTACTACTAAGTTCGGGATAGTTCGTCGCACGCTGAAGCTCAACGGGTCATTTAGCAGTTTTCCGTTCCTGCTGTAGGCCGAATTGTTCCTTACCTCATTAAATTCAGGTGGCCGTTTCGGGAAACGAGGAAAAAAGAGCTCACGTTATTTTAATTGGTAGCCATCGGTCTCTCGCGTGACCGTGCGGTAGCGAAAAACGTAACTGCAATGTTTTGCTGCAACTGTTGTCTTAACGAGCGGAACTCTCCCGCGGAGAGGTTAACGAGTCTGTATTGATATCAAAGTATCATCTTAACAAGTTTCGCTCGGTTATGTTCATTAATTTCCTTCCAATTCAAAAGTGTGACCAAGAAGAACGCCACTGGCTATCGGCATATCATACCAATTCTAATTCATGACGATAAAACATTTTCCATCACCAAATATATCATTTTTGTTAACGCCCAGGCCACATTTGACGGTTGCAAAACGATTTCGACAACTGCACCAAGTTTTTTCATTTTTCCATTAAAATTAAATGACTGACACTATACGCAATAATGATTGGGAGCATCCCTTTTTAAATCCAAACTGGTTTGGATTTATCAAATGATTTGACTCAAAATAATAAGATAATGGAGAATACATAATTTTTTCAAAAAACTTTGGAAAGAATTGAGATAATGGCTAGGAGTCGGTAAGTATTAAGATCAGACATTTCATCTTTCTTATAGATTGCCACAACTTTAGAAACTTTAAAAACCTTCGGATATATTCCATTGAGGAAACACCTACTTATTATGTCAGTTAATGGTAAAACTATTACATTGCAGCATTCTTTATTAATCCTACTGTTCAAAAAATAAAAGTCTAAAGCTTTTGAATTATTCAAAGACATTATGACCTGCTCGACTTCAAGTGAAATTTGAATGGGCATATAAGTTTAATCAAGTTATGCATTAACTCATATGGCCTAGCAGGAGTTTCATCCAAGGTTTCTAATATTTTATGCGCTACTGTAGTAAAAAAATGTTGAATTCGTCAGGGGATAAATCTTTCGTAAAATATTTACCTGTGCTACACCTCTCGGTGTTAACTAATTTCCAAGAATCTTTGCTGTTATTTTTGGATAATTGTAAATAGTTTGTATAAGTCAATTTTCTTGTATTTTTTATTTCATTTTATATTCCCTTTTGTATTTTTTATATATTGAAAAGTCATCTGGATTCTTTGTAGTTTCCGCTATACTACAAATTTTTGATAATTTATCTCGCATGACTCTGAGACCGTCACTGAACTGGAAATTTGGATTTGAATGTCTTTCTAATCAAAGGAAAACAGAAACGCCTGTTTCCCCATGTTCTTCACCAATTTCAAATTTGCTTCTAATTAGGCATTTTAAATACACTAAAAGCATGAAAAATTCCCTGGACCTAAGTTTATACAACTTAATTCCAAATCAAGTCACAAACTTGATATTTAAAAATTTTAAAACCAAAATAAAATCTTTTTTTTGCAGCATTGTAGAGAAATACAAACAGAAGATAAAAGATATTACCTGATTACCCGATGGTGGCCACATTTTGGTTGTGTACGGTATCTTCCTTTTTTTTTTCATTTTTATTCCTATTTGTTTTTATATGTAGTGTAATGTAATACGTTGTTATACCTATTATTATTGCAGATTTTATCTAATCGTATGTATATATGTATGTATGTGTAAGTGTATATATACATAAATGTATGCATATAATTCTATATTTTTTTCTCTTTTGTACTTAGACGGGCTGTAAACATACTATGTATTGTAATCCAATCAAATAAAAATCTATCTATCTATCAATCTCTTCTTTTGTACTATCCATAACACGCTGCAATGTATTAATCATTAATCAGAGTCATTAAAGCATTTGCAGCAGTTAATACGAACACTGTTCTAGTGTGAAGATAGTTTCTTATTCTTTTTTCTGAGCTCCTCTAATGGTTGTAGTACTCTGTAAAGTCTTGTATAGGTTTGCTTTCAGGCAACAATCTTGGCTCCTTCTGAACAACGTAATCCACCTATTCTGCATATTTCAGCGTACCAGAGAACGCAACAAGACTTTGACTGCAAAAAGTTCCATTTGTTTCAGAATGTATTTATTCTTTAGAGTGTGCTGAAGATAAACTTATTTTTCTCTATCACTTGCCTTGAGAAACAGGTCTTATATTGCTGCATCACTTCTGTACAATCACTTGCACTATAAAACCTCCCAAGTAAACGTTTATTCTCATCTATTAACGACGTTTTTATATGACTAAATCATTTGTCTTTTAATTTCAGGTGATTCCGGGTAATGTCAACCCGTACCTCGAATCCAAGAGGCAGTTGGATCCTCCTTTGTGGGCTAGCAAGATCCGATTCTACCCCTACAGCTACCACAAGCGCACCGTTTGTATGAGGGTGGAACTCTACGGTTGTAGATGGACGGACGGCATAGTCAGCTACTCGATGCCCCAAGGAGACAAACGGGGATCGAACTGGGAATTCTACGACAACGGATACGACGGGCTGTGGGACGGTAACGACTTGAAGCACGGCCTGGGTCAACTCATAGACGGAAAATTTGGCCATGACGATTTCAAAACCGATTTCTACGACGGCCAGACGTGGGTCGGTTGGAAGAACGACTCCCGGCACAAACCTGTCGAGATCAAGTTCGAATTCGACAAAGTTCGAGAGTTTTCTGGCGTTCACGTTTACTGCAACAATCAGTTTACCAAAGACGTCCAGGTGTTCGCGTTCGCCAAAGTGCAGTTCAGCATCGGGGGCAAGAGGTTCAATAGAGGCGAACCTATTACTTACGAGTACATAGCGGACAAAATCTTCGAAAACGCCAGAAACATAAGCATCAAGCTCCATCACAGGGTGGGCAAGTACGTCAAGCTCCAACTGTATTTCGCGTCGAAGTGGATTTTGGTCAGCGAAGTGTCTTTCGAGTCTGTGACGGCTCACGGCAACTTCTCCATCGAACCGGAACCGACGAGTACGCCCCACGTGAAAATCACCAACGACCACCAGCATAAAATTGAGATCCCCGTGCCGAACGAAATAAACGACCAAGCTGTGATTGTAATCATATTTATAGGAATTATTTTAGTTATAATTCTCCTAGGGGGGATCGCCTTGATAATATACCGAATTCGCAATAAGAAATTCACCAGGAGTCCCAACTCCTCGAATATAGGGTTCCCTAATGGCACCATACCTCATATGACCGCCGACTCAGTGTACGGAGTGAACGAAAAAGGTGGCGCGATAGAAGCGTACGGTGTTACCGAGATTGAAGATTATAGGAGAAGTCACGGATCGGTCAAGTCTAGCATGAGATCCACGCTGCCCCTGCCTCATCCTATTCACAACTCTGAGGGAAATGAGTACCAGGAGCCCTACCAGGCCATGAAATTTGCGCCGTACTATAGTTACAGTACCGTCGTGATGGAGATGCAGGACGTACTCCCGAACACCATGGAAAAGCCGCACATCAATCAAGGTACGCAAAGGTTTAAATCCTTCAATTATTCTTTTTTCAATGTGTTACACTATTTGGGATCCATTCATTCATTCTTGGTTCTGGATATGGTCCGACAAAAAATATCAATCAATGCGGATGTCCTTCAAGAATTTTGGCGGCTGCCAATAGGGTTTCGCCCCCCAACCTGTAGAAGATCGTAGTTTTTTAAAGAAAAAACCTCTACATAAAATTTATTACTCCTTTGACCTAATTTAAGCTTAGCATTGGATGGCAAGTACATATACAAAGAAACTTTCTTTTCCAATAACGTAGCTGGAACTCCATTCTTAGATCCAAAATTATTATGAAGAGTCGTCTCATCTTCACGCGTAATTCTTACTTTGATAGTTGCCTATTATTTTTGATACATTTTCAGTTTGATTAGTTTTGGTTGGTTAGTAATTTAGTATTACTGATAAATCAGAAAGGTATCCACTCTTCAGGTAAAATGAAATTCATCAAAAACATTATTCAGGGTTCATTTTTCATTGCAGGCAGCAGGCCTGTTTCGTTCCATGTGATCTAGATCCGTTCATTTTTAGTGTTTTGACTATATGCACTTAACCCCTTTGACATACCACTAACATCCACACTTCTTCATTTTAAATGTCCAAGGTATTTTGGGAAGTCTAGGAACTATCCACATTTCAAGGCTTCTATTCTGCCAATGGTATTAACATTCGTAAAATACTGTTTGCAATAAAATGAGGTCTAAGTTTTTTAAATATCAAGTTCTAGCTTTATCAATAAGATAGTACTTGCACTGCCATCTGGCGCTAATGCGCTAAACTGGGAAAGACGAGATGTAGAATCCCACTATCCGATACATATAACTCGGCAGCTTATAAGTCAGCCTCTCGGGACTAGATGTCGCTAAGAGGCGCGATCTGAAAGAACTCTTCGATTTTTCAGACAATTACGACTACGCGGTGCCCGAGGCCGGCACTTTACCACTCTTAGGAAGTTGCGAGCAGAATACACTGCCCATGACGAGGAATAGAATAAATAGTACATCTAAAAACCCACGGGTGTCGCTGCGCAGCACTAGGAGTGAAGGCCACGAATCCAAGCAGGTAAGATCCTTCTTGAATCTTACTTTCTTTACAGGATCTGCTATTTGCCCTCCGTGTGGGTGTGTTGTAGAGTTACCTATATTTTTATCTTCTTTCTACCTCATTTTCTTTCTTTTTTTCTGTCTTATCTGGATAATAAATTTTTTCAGTGTTCACAAATATGTTGAACTTGTTTGCCAATGTATTTAAAATCAATGGCCACTAAGACGACATTAATTAAAAACTATAAAATTATTATTAACTAATTCGCAGCCTCCAAAACAACATGATGCCCTGGCAGAGCTTAAAAAGCGCTTGGAAGAAACAACTATTCCAGAGTTCCCTAGGCACAGACTGAGAATGCTGTCCAAATTGTCCGAAGGTGCGTTTGGAACTGTAAGTATTAATTTATTTGAAAATACGGCCATACGACTGACGCATTCGATAGGTCTACATAGCCGAAGCTAATTGTTTGGCAGACTACTCGGCAACCTCGTTGGACACCAGACTCGTAGCGATTAAGTTTTTGGGTGAAAAAGCGTCCGAAAAGGAAAAGTAATGACTTCCTAAGTATCAACGCGACACTTTAATCAACGCTTCTCGAAACGTTATAGGAAAGACTTCTACAGAGACGTAAGAATCCTCGCCGCTTTGGCAGACGACAACATAGCAAGCGTCCTCGGGATTTGTAGCCAGGACGAACCACTTTGCGTTGTCATGGAGTATTTGGAGCACGGCGATTTGTGCCAATTCTTGAAAACTCACGTGGCCGCCGAATCCAGTTCCGGTCTACCATACGGGGTTAAGTCATTGACCTTTAATTGTTTGTTATACATGAGCACTCAGATAGCGTCTGGCATGAGGTATTTGGAAGCTCTGAATTTCGTTCACAGGTATGTAGCTGAAGAGATTTCCATTAAGCAGGAAACGAGATTTTATCATTTCCAGGGATTTGGCTACAAGGAACTGTCTGATTGGGAAAGGGTACCAAATTAAAATATGCGATTATGGGACTTACAACGAATTATATGTCAACGATTACTATAAAGTAGACGGGAATACTCCTCTTCCTATCCGATGGATGTCATGGGAGGCTGTTTATCAAATGAGGTATGACAACTTCTGGGAATCGCTTCAAACCTACACTTATTTTCTTTAAAAAATAACTCATCCTCACAAATTAATGTAGATTCCAAATGCCGGTTAATATATGAGAAGAGATTGTTTCTTTATTATATAAATCATTTAATACTTTAATTCTATTCAAAAATACAAAAATAGGTGAAAGTCCATTATATATGTATATATCAATATTATGTTTATTAATTAGATAGATATTTGAATTGAATGCTTAATAGGTCACACCATAATGATAGGTTCTAAAAAATATATATATTTACAAATTTTTGGTTTTCGAAAAAAAACTTTTATATTTAAATAGACACCTTTAAGAATGGAAAATAATCAAAAAATTATTTGCACTCAAATCGGATAACATGCTTTTATAGATATCACAGTGATATTAGTGAAAAATACAAAAACTGAAATAACTTGCTTTTTACAAAACTTCTGGATTCCTCCTGCGTCGGTTTTTGCTTTGTTGAAATTGCTTACGTTTCGCCAATCACCCTGTTGGCTTCTTGACTGAGTGAACTCAGTTTCAGTCAAGCTCTGAAGAAGCCAACAAGATGATTGGCGAAACGTCAGCAAATTCGACTAAGCGAAAACCGACACAGGAGGAATCCAGAAGTTTTGTAAAAAGCATTACAGTAGCCTGTGGAAGTTTCTTTGAAAAACTGAAATAACTTTTTAACAGTGAATGATTGGATCAAATAAGATTGTTTCACTTTTAAAAAGTTTTTAGACTATTTATCTCAAATTATATAATTACATTGTCAGCGTTTTAAATTTATGTATGGTATAGTACCAACCATATGGTTGCCTACATTAAATCTTAAAATCCCCGCCAGGTATACGACAAAAAGTGACGTGTGGGCCTTTGCGGTGACTTTATGGGAAATATTGACCCTGTGCCGAAGACAACCCTATGATTGCATGAACGATCCGGAGATTATGGAGAATTTGGCAAGACTCCATTGTGATGATAATCAGTATAAATATCTTCCAAGACCCTCTACTAATAAGGACATATACGATTTGATGCTGGAATGTTGGCGAAGGAATGACACAGACAGGCCCACTTTTAGAGAGATCCATATGTTTTTGCAGAGAAAAAATTTATGCTACGCTCCCGTTTAAGGGCTGAAATCGATACACAGAAAGCAACGCTCCGACTACAACCTACTGAATCTTGGCCCTAATTTTGTATAGTTTTGTATGCAAGACTGCGCTAGTTATTAGAGGGATCAAATCAACTCTTTTTGTATATATGACACAGGGTGATATTATATTACTTAGTTTGAACATATCTATTATTTATTGTATAGGTTAGACAGTAGTTCTCTTGTTTTACCAAATCTTGAAAAGCAAATGAGATTTTTACACCTTTCTGCCTATTACTACTGTGGTATTATTATATGATGAGACATAAAACTTTCTTTGGAAAGTACTTATGTTAGATATAAGTTATGGCACATTACGAATTTACACAAACCGGAAAAACTGGAACTGCATTTAGTCCTTAATCACATAATTTATATCTAGGATAGGAACTTTGGTTTTTGGTTATTTTAAAAACCTTTCTCGCAAGTTGTTGAAATTTAGTGGCTTAACAATGCTTGAAACATTTGTTATAAAACTCTTCACTAGCACAATAACTAAAGACAATGTTCTAGATATTAATACTTAATAATGTATAAAGTAAAAAATATCAGTGTTAATATAAAAAAAAATATTTACTAGTCAATTTTTTCAGACAAGCCTACTCTATATGAATGTAAAGTTAAAAAATATAAATATAAATCTTTTTACTACAACGAGACAATGTGACCCTTTGGAGCTTAAACACACGATAACTGTATATTCTAAATGTATATTTATTTTTAGCTACTGTAAACCCCTTGTTACTATATAACGCCTCGAAGAGGTAACTTTCCCCGCTAAACTCGCTTATGAAATTGACATGTATACTTTTGTAGATTTTCTAACCACTACATTACTTTTTTACAATAGATTTACATACGATTTATGTAATTGAGGGATATTAAGCAAGCAATGTTTTACTGAAGGAGGCAATATTTTTCAAACTGACACATAAGTACATAAACTTGCATAAAAATTCGGTATACATTTGAAAACAAATGATATTTTAATACAATATAATCACTTTTTATGTGCCAATAATTTTTTATCCATTTACTGCTTCAGATCTGATCTCAGCTCTCCTATTCTATTTCGAGAAATTCTCTTATAGAAAAACGGCAATAATTTGCTTTAGGAAATTGTTTCATTATCTGTTAGGGAGCAAAACATTCCAAATGTACTTTACGATGAAATTATTGTGTATGTACTTGCAAAAATGGCACAATTTACTACTACTAACTTTTGTTGCAATAATTGTAATGATTATGTCCGCAAAAATGTTTTACACGAAAAATTATTACTGTCAAGTAACATATCAAGATTAAATTATTATTGAAACAGGTTCTGGTTTTATTTATTTCGAGTAACTTCGGCGAGCATGCAAGTTTACATATTAAAAAAAATTCATACCTGTAATGGTGAATGTTTTCAAACGGAGAAAAGCAAGTTGCCGACAACACGCTTTATTTTAAAAAATTCTAATATGAATCAGCACTCAAAACCAGCATACCAATATCTGTTATTTAATTTTACGTTATTTCAAATATGGCGGTATACCAGAGCATAAATGTTGGTTGCCGAGTCCAAGTTAGGAATGAATTTTCACAGTGTTTAAAGCACGCCACGAAAACTAACCAAAACTAATCCCTTTTGAATATCTTTTTTCAAAATCGTCTCTCTCACATAGCTCTTGGCAAATTGAAGTCTTTAATATTTTCCAGCACAGAACAACAAAATTTAGTGTATATTGGCGATACTGCGAACGCCATACTGGCGGGACCGAGTTCTTCCTCTTGAATCAGCTGCCGCCGTCAACTGTCAGAACGTTGGAGGTCAGCCAATTTTATGTTACTGTTTGTGAATGTGTATGTTTACAATGTAATTTTTTCGTGATAATTGTTCTTAATTATCAAGGATTTGTTAGCGCAAGAGTGATTGGTGAGTACGATTTTTAAATTTTAACGATTTTTGCCGCTCGTTAAGTGACGGCCGGCTCGCTCCTGATGATTTTGTCTATATTTTCTCGTGATTCAATCAAGTTGTTGAATCATAGCCAGTATTTTTTTCAAAACGGTTTCGCGAATTTTGCATTCGGCGTTTGCCAGTCATTAAAAAATCAATTTCCATCCGAATTTCGAAAGTGGTTCCACCCATGCGTTGTTGTAATTGGAAAAATATTCTTGATCGACATGCTTCCTACGCTTTTTATGAATATTGTTCTTTAGTCATTCATTCATTTTTGTCGTTCCCTGCTACGAAGAAATGAATTCTTTTTGAAATGTTTATGCTTTAAGTATTTGTTGTGCATAATTGTATTTTTAAATACCACACTTAAGCGTTTGTGACAATTACTTTGGCAATGAAACCTATTTACCGATCGCCGGAGAGTTTCACCTAAGGTCCTAAAATGTGCTTAATTGTTATGCCAATAAGATATATCCGACAGTATATCAGTCAATTATTATACACCCAAATCCGCCATAAGAAAAATGCGCCTCTCTGATTTCTTATTTTAGAGAACTGCATAAAATTTGGAAATAATGAATAAAGGAAGTAGGTAGTTTCTTAATTAATGTAGCGGCACAGTTTTTAATCATCCGTAGTGAAAGCTAAATAGCATAGGAACCATACCAAATCAAGTAGAACATTTGTTATTTTCCTCGAATTTCTCAATCTCGAGGAAAAAGAGTTTCATTGTTTTCTTTACAGTTAAGTATACGCGGATAAATCTCTTAACTAAATTTGGGCGCATCTGAATTGCTTGATTAGTTAATTGGATTATTTTCTAATTTCTAGTAAAGTTGATGATGGCTTTCTTCTGCTTTGCAATTCATATTTTCGTACGCTACCTACTTCCATCTAGATTGTACTACTTATACTATAGTATTTTATATTAAAATGATTTCGACCGCTTAAAATTGCTTATGTAAATATAAAATAGTACAATTTTACGGTATTTGAATCTTCGTACATTAGGCTTAACGTGTGTTTACCGTTAAAAATGGAGGTAGTGTTCCGAACCCGTGAAGTGATAGATAGGTTTTGAAAGGTCAAAAAACTTGGTCTTGCTAAACTATCATTATCAGTAGCTCTACCTAATTACCGCTCACGACGAGAATTGAAAATTATAATTATTATTATATTAAGGTTGGTATGAAGTTAATGGAAAGTCTAAAAAAATCGTTTGACACATCCTGTACAATTGTCCCAGGCATTGCTGGCGCCCTCTTTTGCAGCCGGTTCCTATACCTATTTTTCAGTAAATTGAAACTGCGCAAACGTACAGTTAACGGTTTCCTAATTTATCGATAAAGCCCACGATAAAGTTTCCAGACCCAGACAATAGACAATTAAATGAAGCTTGGTCATAAAATTCTTCGACATCTATCGATTATAAGTTGTCCACGTTTTTTGCATTTTCGCGATAAACTCGCAACAGTTGAAGGATACGCACTTTTTATAGCAAAATCAAATACTAAATTCTAAAAATTTTTAAAAAATATACAATCCGTTTAAGAAAAAGGTTCATCGTATAGTGAGTCAATTGCTTTTGAGTCAAGTATTCTTCAGTCATCGTCAATCACCAACACATACAAATAATAAATTATTGCAGTTGTTTTTCAAGATGGGTTCTTGAAAATATGCAGTAGCCTCCGTATCCAAATCCCAAAAAGCACCCGGGAAGTAAATAGCTGTAATTAGCCCCCTGAAACAAAGCACTTAACCTAAATAATCTCATAAAAACTTGACACTTCTTTATCTAACAATGCTCGACTGCTTGGTCTAGCTTACTTCCGTGACGTCATTGATTGTCATTAAATAGTTGTATAGGTATTCAAGATGTATCCATCCCACTTATTCAAATTGAGAATCAAAAGTGATGTCACCGCTGCCCAAGCGAAAATTGAGTTGTTTCTCTATCTCAGTTGAAATTTGGATGTTTCCTGGTATATAATATAATCTATGGAAAAATGAATGAGCGTTTTTTTTTTAAAGGAATCCAAAGTAATTGTGATATAGTTTTGAAATAGAAAGCACTTCAAACTTGCATGGTCTTTATTTATTATCAAGTGTAAACTAAAACAATTCTGAAGACTACTAGTTCTACTGCAGTGCTAGTGGATACGAAGATCAGAATTGAAGATACAAGCAGTACAAACTTTAAAATGATATAAATAAAGATACGTACAAGGTAAAATAAAAAACTACAAGCAGGTGTATCAAGATTGCGTCAGAGTCGAACAACTGTTGCTCGCTGAAGGACTAATAACAGATCTGAGTTGTTGAGGCCGTAAATTTATGTCTAATGGGATTGACATTTTAATATACTAAATAATAAAACACGAATGTTAATACACCCTTATATTAATTTTAAATATTATTTGATATTATTTAGTTCAATTTCGCTATTGCCACTAATTTACAAATTAAAAATACGGATTCTGACCTGTAACTTGCCTTTTGTCCATTCATTTGAATTTAAATCCCAAACGACGTAGAGTACGCCCCATTAATAAAAACACAACAATAAAATGAAAAAATTATTACGAACATCAAACTTTAGTACATATAATTATTGTACAGGGTCTTCACAAAAAAAACTATATTTACAAACAGTTTTTAATTAAATTATGAAAACGGTTTGATAACATCACACAAAATGTAGAAATATTTTAAGTAAATAAAAAAAATAGTAATACAGGGTGTTCCCAAAGTAATAAAAAAGTTATTGATTTAATATGGATTAAGACAAAATCTTGTTATCGGATTTTTTAAAATAATTAAGTTTGTTTGCTTGAAAGAAAGAAAATAAAATAATGACATGGTTTTTTGCATCTAAAGTATCATTCAGTTAAGCACTTTGCTCTGTTTTTGTTACAATTTTTGCATTAGTTTAACCATTGCTTTGCAATAATTAAGTTTTTGGTTTATACTTAGTTTTAGTATCAAAAGAGCATGACAACCCATCATAAAGAAAAGTTAAGTTACACTATCGCTCTATAAAAAAAAGAAAACAAATTTTTATATTAATTATTTAACAACAATAAATAAGAAATAGTTTAACTAACTTAAAAAAAATCATTTTAACGAAGTGTTATAAAGATGAACTATTTTTTAAATAAAATGTGCCTACTCAGAATCAATGCTATTATTATCACCACTGTGGCTAAAAGATGCAGGGTTTGGATTAAATGATTTTAATAAATTTTGAGCTTCTCGAACTAGCTTTTTCTTTTTAGGTAACTTTAGTTTTCTTAAACTTGTTATACGCGGGTCCGAAGAGATTAATAAATTGTGGAACACATCAATATTAGCATCCATTCTGCTCATTTTTCTTGCATGATGTTCCCGGTATCGTCTGTACTCTTTGTTCCGAGCTTCCTCCGATATTTGTCCGATACGTACATGACATGATTTAAAAATTTCGCCCCCATGAATAAGAATTTCATATATAGTGACAGGCATTTTGTACCAGGAATAAAGAAATACAAATTGTTTGGCTGTTTACCAAAGAATATGATTTAAAACTATTAATATCAATGCTAAGTCCGCTGGCAATCACTTGTAAAATTGCAAAAAATCGATATATTAAATTTTGATCCAGATTCAGAAGATATTATTATTTGAATTTAAATCCCAAACGACGTAGAGTGCGCCACATAGATGTAGTGGAAGTGACAATGACTTGGTCACTTTTTGTTCTGCATGCTTTCGTGTTTTTTTAGGCGCTATCGCATTATTCGCAATGTTATATACTGTACTTGGAGTGCTCGTTAAAACTGACGTCTTCTTCAATGTCGAAGACATGCAAAGGCGATGGGACCATATAATCCGACTCTCTTCGGGTAGAGCCTAATGGTCGTTTAAGGTTTCTATGACATTTCATATAATAACAGAGGCTTCATAATAGTGAAAAATACATATGTATGTCATTAAAAAAAGGTATTGCCAAGCACGCTCAGCCATTTTTGCATCTCTGAATTCGCCAATACGTTGGCATTCATTTAACTCTGTGTCTGGCATTCAGTCATTTAATATGCCTTGATGTAAGTGATGTTCTTCAAAATGAACAAGGATGGCATGACGGGGACCAGAGAGCATTTTAATGATGAAGACATGCAAAGGCGATGGGACCATATAATCTCTGTTCGGGTAGAACCTAATGGTCGTTTAAGGTTTCTATGATATTTTATATAACAGAGGCTTCATAATAATAGTGACCTTATAAAATCATGAAAAATACATACGAAGGGGTACCCATAAAAAATCGGAATTGAATTGCCCCGGGCAGAGCTTGTATAGTACACCTTTCTACCGCTAGGTTGTGGATAGTA